TGAAGTAAAAACCAGCGGCATAGATAACACCCTCGCAGTCCCTGCGTCGTGAGGGCACACGCTCCAAGGTGACGTCGCACAAGTACGGGCGATGTAAAATATATTTAAAGTAGATAAGCAACGGGAAAATGACCTTTCAGCAATAATAACATGCTTAACTTCAACTGTTTATATTTATACATCGGAAGAATGTCATATAGAAATTTGTTTGATTTCAATTACTTCGTCGCCTCAAAACAGATGACTAAAATTATTAATTAAGCCACATCGATAGTACATAGCGCGGGAGAAAAGGAGAAAAAAAGAAACGGCCAAGTTTGACATCGAATTATACTGTGTTAATTTTCTGAACATTTGGCCGTTTAGGGAAAAAACTGAAAGCGGATTCGTACACCACAGGTATAGGAGTATATTATTGTATCACATTTAAATAATTTTAAAATAAAATTCTTTGAAATGTGGTCACCGTTTTGCTGTCTACATGGTATTCCTAATATACATACAGAATTCGACAACAATCGGTCCAGTACTTTCGGAGATTACGTGTCTAATAAAAATCAACACAGATGACAGACAGAAAGAAGAAAACTAGAGATTATTTTTTTCATACTCTAGGGGTGATGAAACATCGAGAAAACATGAAACTGGCAAGTCATTCGATGGATTCGATTACTATACTAAACTGTACGTCCTTAGCTTACGCTCGGGAAGTAAACTACCTTACTATTAGGAAAACTTACTATTCTTTAAATAAAATTACGGTTTCAGGAAAACATTAACACAATTCTTTGTGACAAACGTAGAAACAAAATTAATGTTGTTACGAAATAAACCCATACGCCGCCCCGGTACGACGCCTATGGGTCTTCTAGTATGTATAACTCATCGGCCGGGCGATGCGGTGTTCACTAAAGGAGAGCCTAGAAGCGGAAGTTGCGATGGATTCGAGAAAGACCTCGATTGCGAAACATCGAGAAGGGTATATGGGTTTAAACGGAGGTCACCTTCGGGAACGAGATTCATTCAATCAACGAGTCGAGTCGAGTGCATGTTCAGAATCCAGTTACGCCGTAATTATTTTCCACATAATCGCTGTGTAATTCGAGTTACTAACAAATAAATTGTTGAGTTTAACCCACGCCGATTTTATTCACCCATACAACGTAACAATATTTAGAATTAGTGGTGAAATTATTGTAACGCACTGGTCATTGTTTTGATACGTCATCTTTCATAATCACAATACTCCTGGAAAACATTCCGGTTGTCTGTCGTCTCTGTCAATATTTGTTATTTTACACAGATAATCTCAGATAACAGAAACTACAGGAACGATTTTATTGGCAAATTGTATATGTTTTTTAGGAATATCATGTAAATAGATGGTAAAACGCTAAGCAAAATTTGTCTGATCGTCCTCAACAATAATGCGACGACGTCAGTTCGAAATTTCCTATAGTAAATGTTATTTATAAGTAGAGAGCGGATTTCTGTCGGGCTAGACAAGGCCAAACTCGGTACGGCTCGTACGGGATGGGAATTCATTGCAATTACCGGCTGCACTTCGTTTATTTGAGATTAGAATAACGCTGCTTCGTTGCACTCTGCTGTTAATTTCAGTTCTCATTTACTTAGGCGGTTGATTAATAAATCGTTAATTGTATTTATGGAATAAAGTGACAATTAAATTCAGTGATTACCTATCACCCGCTACTGAGTCCCGGCGATGCAGCGCGTCCCCACTTACAATCGTGACGTAGCCCGACAGAAATCCGCTGTCTATTTATAAGTTATATAAAAATTTACTCTTAAGCTCATGATTTATAAATTCGTTTTAATTTGGTATCCATATCTTAGGAAAAAAATTGGTCTAAAGAGTTTGGACAGTACTACCCTCACTGTCGGAAACGTGACAACTGCAAGCCTATTATGTTTTTTTTTGCATTAGATTTCAAAGCATTCGATTTTGTAGGTCTTGATTAAATCAATAAAGTAAATTTGCGCATTCATTAAATTTTTTGAGTCACCCTGTATATCCAAATCCAAAAAATATGAATGGAATGATAAATTACAAGAAGAGACTCATCATATTTTGTACATTTTAGATAGGATTATTCTGCAAAATTTTGAGCTGACGTCATCAATTTTTTGGAGGGGATAAGGAAATATATTTTTACTAAAAATTTTTTATGCTCTTTATAACCTTAAAACATTTGCAAGATTTCAAAGCATTCGGTACTGTAGTTCCTGATTAAATCAATAAAATAACTTTACCCATTCAATAATTTTTTGGGTCACCCTGTATATGCAAATCCGAAAAATTTTATTGGAATGATAAATCTCAAGAAGAGACTCGTCATATTTTGTACATTTTAGATAGTATTTTAGATTCAGCAAAATTTTGGGGTGGCGCCATCCATTTTTTAGGGGGGATGAGCAAATATATTTTGATCAAAAATTTACCATGCTTATGATAAATTTAAAACATTTCCAAGATTTCAAAGCATTCGGTTTTGTAGTTTCTGATTAAATCAATAAAATAAATTCACGCATTCATTAATTTTTTTGGGTCACCCTGTATATGCATGTCCAAAAAATATGAATGGACTGATAAATCACAAGAAGAGACTAATCATATTTTGTACATTTTAGATAGGATTTATTCAGCAAAATTTTGGGGCGACGTAATCAATTTTTTGGAGGGGATAACTAAATATATTGTGATTAAAATTTTATCATGCTTGTCATAACTGTAAACCATTTGCAAGATTTCAAAGCATTCGGTTTTGTAGATTCCAAATTAAATGTCAAAATGTTGTTTCCTAATTTTATTTTTTTTTCAAAAATCTGGACGTTTCGGGTAAAATTTCAATTCGGAGTCATAAACTACATATTTAAGACTATGTTATTTGATACAATTTAAAACCCAATTAATATGTACAATTTTGAAGTGACGTCATCACATTAGTGGTGGGGATGATTAGACAAATTTTGGTTAGCGTTTTACCATCTACATGATATACCTAACATAAATACAAAATTTGACGACAATCGGATCAGTATTTTCGGAGATTATCTGTAATAAAAATCCGGGACGGCAGACAGACGGACGGACAGACAGACAGAGACAGACGGAAACGGGAGACCTATTTCTTCGTCTTCTAGGGGTCATGAAAGATCGAGAAAATGTAAAAGTAGAGATTCGGCCGACGGACTCGATTACAAAACTTCCTTTGCTTACGCTCGGGAAGTAAAAATCAATATTGTGAAACATTTTACAATTTAATTTTGCAAAAGTTGTAAAGTTATCGTAAATATGGTAAATCGTTGGTTAAATAGATTGGTTTATCTGGCCCAAAAAATTGATGACGTTATCATAATATTTTGCTCAATAAATTCTATCTGAAATGTACAAAAAATTATTTTAGAACTGCTGATACAAAAAAATTTGGCAATACAGTACTGTTATTATTAATATTATTATATAATATTAAATTGATGTACGTGTAATTTTGTAATGGAAAAACTCACTTGAAACATGCACATGTCATGCTCCTTTACCTTTATTTTAACACTACACACATATCTTTGTTCTAACTTATGTTATCATAAAAAAAATCGCAAGATCAAATTTTATAATTGTTCGCAAAACCTTGATATGTTGTACCGCACTTCTGCACCTGATTGACACGAATTATTCTTCATAACAATTCTTCAGTTCTACGGCTAAAGTCGTTGACGTTTGCTACGTCCAGCCGTTCCATTCCGTTTTACTAATATTCTTTTTAAATTCTTCCTAATTCTTCTTGTGGACTTCCAATAGATTTTATAGTTTTCTTAAAGTTCGGCGGAAGCTATAGTGCGGTAATCTTTACGAGTCACAGTGGGTTGCAATAAATCCGTTACCCGTGAAGACCTTCTCCTATTGTAAAGGTAACAAATAAAAACTGTGCCGATACGACATGTGGCCTACTTAACTGCCTGTGTAACGTGCCATTGTTTTTGTTTATTGAATGTGATTTAGATATTTAGCCGAACTTTGCGTCTGTCCTTCAGTTTTACATTGAACGTTTTTTTTTGTACCATATGTTTGTACATTTTCATCTATCTAATGTTGATGTTTCATCAGAGACGTCATTAGTCATTACACCTATGTCACGTAGCTAACGTAGAATCAGTCACTATCTGGCTTCACGATATCGTCGCCTCGCTTGACAAATTCTAAATTAGTCTTTGGAAGATATTTGACCAAAGTTCAGTCTCGCTTATTGGGGTCTTCACTTCCTCACAGAAAACTGAGGGTTCGAATTACCTCCAATGTGAGCTTTATCGAACGCCGCTTATCATTGGTCACCTTATTTACGATCTAATTTTAATAGAAACCATATTTTCGACATATTATTATTGGTCTAGGCCAGGACCTACTTTCGGTTTCGTTACGGCAATCAGTCTTTGTATTTTTAGGCGAAGTGGACGGCCTACGATGTTTGTTCTACCCTCCAAATCGTTTATAGCAGTCGGCGGTGCATTGCTCTTTGATAACGTCTGCTTTACGTAGCACGACCGTTTTGATTCGTTGAACAGAAAGTCGTCACATGAAAACCCGCATTTTTTGAGACGTCAAAGACAGGTAGTTTCGAAAAGTGTTGCCTCCCGAGTGCCCATTATCTGGTTCGGCTTTCGTTGTCTTCGTCTAAGCGCACTGTCTTTTAACGTTGGTGTAATGAAGGGCTGAGGAATTGATACCTTAGCGCCCCTCGCTGATCAAGAAGGGGATGGTAACTAGATGATTTAAATTGTATTTGTGAGTAGACTGTGTGTTTGTTGCTTCGTTCCTTGTACAATCGCATGGTGGTGGTGGTGAGAACACGCACTTTTCAGGAAGAGAAATACGTGAAGTGCAGTAGCCATTTATTTTTATTATCTGGTTCTTATCATGGGAGTTGACGTCATTTATTTTGTACGGTTAGTGAAAAATTTACTTTGTGGTTCCGTGCAGTTGACAAGTATGGACAAAAGTGACACCATTTACAATGACAACAAACGTGAAGTTTCGTGAAAACAACACCGTGGAGTGTTACATTAAGGCAGCAGAAGAGAAAAGAAAGTAAGGTTTTACTGAAAACTGATTAAAACGTTATCTGTAAAGCGTATTTTTAATTTGATTTGATAAAAGCAATGTCGGATTGAATCAGTAACACTTAACTAAATACAATTTTTTAATTGTGTTTGTTATTTTGAAAGCGACTAACATTATCGTTCCTGCCGCAATTTCAGGTTGTACGCTTTCATTGGAATCCAAATTTATCATTTCCAGAACTGTTAATTAAACACATAAAATACGAATACACCGACAATTAAGCATACAATCAGGCAATTTCAAAACTTGTTAATTCCCACGTGTACGCATTGTAATAAGGTCATTTTGACTAATGTTCGATTATGTGTTGTCGATGTTTCACAGCATACGATATTGCTCTCACGTGCATGCAAAATCGATAGTGCTTAAGGGACGGGGAAGTTTGGTCTAAATAACTAGATTAGTTTTTCCGTCCCCTTGTTCATATCTCTTCAGTGGCGGAATTGCAAATACATTGCAAACTTATAAAGTTATAATGATTATATTATCAAAAGGGTGAAGAACTTATTGATACCTCCTCGTATAAGTAACTATTAAAGTTGCGAAAATTGGCACGTAATTACATGTGTACCAGGTGACCTATAGCCCTGGGAGCAGGAAAATACCAACTGAGCTATGCGTTCGTCTTAAATTAGTCTGAAAGGTTATCGTACAATTTCGATCTTTTTTGCGAAAATCTAGGTGAATTCATAGACCACAAGTACAGTATTAAATAGTATTATTCATTCAAAATTTTTCGAGGGCGTCGTCAAATTCTTGGTGGCGATGATTGTCCAAATTTTGTAGTACTTCTTTGGCTTCCGTTTAAGAAGTGAAAAATATGTTATTAAATCAATATTTTCTGTTATTTTGCAGTTTGCATAATGGAAAAAATATCGATCTCCCGTTACCGTCTGCCTGTCTGTTACCAGTTTTATTAGAGAAATGCTCTCTGAAACTACTATATTGATTACTGGGGAATTTTAGATACACAAAATTTATCCATTCATTTGTTTCCATATTTTTATATAGATCATGGTAAATAGAGATAAAATGAGTTGAAATAAAATTGTATACTTTATTCTAAAACTTACATAAGTACATTCGGCGAATGGTTGCTTTCGTATTTTCTCGACGTTTCATCACCGCTAGAGTGCGAAAAAGTAGGTCCCGGTTTCCGTCTGCCTGTCGTCTGTCTGTGTGCGTCGATTTTTATTAAAAGTATAATATCCGAAACTACTGGACGAATTGTCAAATTTTATGTGATTTAAGAATATCGTGTCTTAATCATTCCCACCAACGATTTGCGTAGTAAAGGTTATCTAAATTTAATAAAATGATGTATTCTTGTATTCGTGGTTTAATTCTTCTTTGATTTTTATTATATAATCTCCGAAACTACTAGACCGATTGTTGTCAAATTTTGTGTATATGTTAGGAACAGCATCTCAAAATTTTACCGAATAAATTCTTTCTGAAATATGCAAAATGTTATCATTCTATACTTGTGGTTTATCATAGTTTTTAGAGTTACGTATACAGGGCGACTTAAAAAATTAATGAATGAGGCAATTTATTTTATTGTTTAAATCAAGAACGACTCACTTCATTTTCCCGAACATTTGGGAATACAGTGCTGTTAGTATTAGTGTTACGCTAGACCTATCCAAATTGATATACGCGTCCTTGCAAAAATATTGACGACGTCAATATAAAATTTTGTAATGGAAAAACTCACTTGAAATAAAGTCGTAGCACGCTTTTTTACATTTACTTTAACATTACATACGTATATTGATTTTAGGAGTAATTTCTAAGGGTGGTCCCAAAAAATAAAGTTCGCAAAATCAATTGTACTGTACTTCAAGGGTAAGGGAAGTACTGTCCGAATAACCTTCGCCCACTTTTTAATAGTATGTCAGGTACTGTCTACATTTTTTTTTCATGTAGGGGTAATTATAAAATAAATAGAATTTTGCAAAATCAAGTTTTATAATTTTTCCAAAAAAAATTTTAATTTTTACCGCGATTTACAAAGGATGTCAAGAAATAATGAATATATGAAACGAATTGTGTTTTCAGTTTTTTGAGAACTGCAGCTATTTTTTTATTATTTCAAAAGTTATAATAAATAAGTGAAATGTTATTGAAAAATAAGTTCTGACATGTATGAGACCTAGTTCTACTTTACAGCAGCGGCGTCTCGTGACCTCTTGAAATGGGGGGACACAATTCGATTGATGAGTTAAATATGAAGATATAAAACAGGCTGTTTGTGATTACCAATTAATAGACGAAATTGTGTGACGACAATAATACAAAAATACATTCAAGAAAAGTAAAAAAGTACTTGTCCACATACCTTTGGTTTTAAATCATTGCTAAGAAGACACACAAAACAAAACAATGTATGTATTATTTTTTTCACAATCCCACTTCCACAAAAATTTACCATGCTTGTAAGGTCAACTGAGTTCATTATTTTTATTTAAAATCAAACAATTTCACTGGCGTAGAATGAAAATATAATCTCACAACTGAATTACTGGTGGTGGTCCCTGTTCGAGCAGGACCGGATTCCAGCTGAATACAGCAACTAGACGCACGGTTTCCATGGCAACGGTGTCTAAATGAGGCATGATTTGGTCTCCGCTTTTATCAGCACTTCAGCAACGTATCATATATCCAAGACACAACATCTTTAGACGCAAGTTTTGATAATTATGACACACATTTTCGAATATTTTTTTAAATTTTGAAAATTACCATTTTGCTATGTCCAGTGTGTTTGTAGACGTTGTAATTTTGGCACCAGCCGCCCCTACTTTACAGGCGAGGGAAGTTCTATCTAAATAACTTTGAGACACCAGATCATCCTTACTACATATATCAAGTATACAGTTCTGTGGAAATGTTGAAAAATAGCCTCATTATTTAATCTTTTTGGATGATGTGTTTAAAATGTGGCAATATTAATTTCTCATTTGGAATTAATCGATGAGATCCAAAAGTTTTTGAAACGATTATTCTGGCGATTTTTTTTCTAGTGAGTAATACTCATGTAAAAATAATTTTGTTCTGTCGTATTAATATTTGTCATCTACGTCTTTGTTCGTCGACAGAATTGGAAAGAAACTGATTTTCTTTAATTAAGACTTAATGTTTTTTTTTTCATTTTTTTTTTTTTTTAGATATTTCCATTGTTTTAAAAATGTAAACAAAGCAAGAAAATTTTAAAGTTAGATTTCCACGTACATATTTTAACACACATTTTCACAAATTTGTGACTCCCTTTCATGTTTGAATCGTGTTTCTGCTAGTTTTGAGAAATGAAAAGGAAGAAAGGAATAATGATTCATAAACCACAAGTTGAGCATTGTTGTTGTTGTTTTTTTTTTTTATATAGAATTTAAATAGCATTGATTATGCTAAATTTGTAGGTGACGTTATCCAATTGTTGGTGACGATAATCAGACAAAGTTTCACGATTTGCAAGATATTCCTAAAATATAAACAAAACCTGTCGACAATCAGTTCAATGGTTTAGGAGATTATGTGTCTAATAAAATCGCCACAGACGAGAGACGATAGAAAACTGATGGAAACGGGAGATTAATTTTTCATGCCTTTTTGAGTCACGAAACGTCGAGAAAATTGTTACTGTTCAATTTATTTTGATCTGAACAGCATTTAAAAAGTTCATGCTATCTACTTATTATATATTTTCGTACTTTGAAAAAAAAAAGCAGGTTTTTTTTTATAATTTAAATCGGTCCAACCCTTAATTTTTGTATTGTATTTTGCATTTTAGCAAATTTTTTGTGTAATAATAATTTTTTTCGTGGTAGTCTTTTCTACTGCGAACGTCTTATTTTTTTTTTGTCAATTTCAATCCAAAAAAAGCAGCAAAATCCTGAGGGGATTCGAACCACGACCTCTTGGCGCCGTCACTGACGCTATAACCACTAGACCATTACAGTTATTACTACAAGGTATGCACGACTGGTATTTCTACCGTCCTCTCAGCATAACTGATCAAATGTTCCTAAAATGATAGATCAAAATTGTTCTCGCGCCTCGCGTGTCTGTCCGACACGAAATGCGATAAAAATGACCAAACTGTACTCGATGAAAACCAGCCACATACTTTGTCCCGGGGAGAAAGTGGTCATAAAAGTGGTTTGAATATGAATAACATGCCTGAAACCGGGTGGCACAAGAAGACACAGGCGCGGCACCGTCACCGAGCAATAAACATATCTCGAAATGTGTTTGTATTGTGTACTTATTTTTTTTTATTATTCACAGAGTAAACATGTCTGCTGGTACGGAGTTGAAGAATATGCAGTCAGGTATACCCCAGCTGCTACCTGATCTCACTACATTAAGCTTTATCGGACCCAGATCTCAAGTTAATAATCATCTGCCGCATCACACGACCATGCAGCAGCAACAACAGGCTAACGGTAATTACTATCAAGTTCTGTAGTTATTGTAATTGGTAGAAAGTGGAAATTTATTGCAATTAAGGCATGGCGCCAAGAGTGCTGTCTTTCGCGCATGTCAAAGACAAAGCTTTATCGTCAAATGATGAGTGAACTACATGATGTAAATGTTAAAATAAAGATGAATTATAATTATGAAGCACGAATTCAGTGGGTTGTATTCAGCAGAGGCTTCTCCGACATTTGATACATTAATAAGACACAGTTAATCGGGCGCATGATCAAATTCAACCAATCAAAGTCAAATTCACGTTTAATCATGCGTTAATATTTAATTCAGATTAAATATTTAATTCACCCGCTGTACTAATCAGTTTATTTGGTGTGCCACAAGTCATATCTGTGTTGGTATAGTTCCAGAGATAATGGGTGCGACTACCAACTGAATCATGACGTAAACTTGACTCTGATTTTGCAACGCATAAATGTCTGCGTGCGTTTTCCATTCTTCGGGTTCGTATTTTTACGATTCCCCAAGAATTCCAACTTTCAACTTTTGAATTGTTATTTACATTTCTTGAACATCAAAGTTATTCTACCATGTTAAGGTTATTACTGTAACAATGAAAGTCAGTTGAGTAGATAAAACGTTAGAAATGAAATTTGTGTTCTTTATTTGCGGTCATTAACTTGAAGTGTGACTGATAAGAAACGAAGTGGTACAAACCTGTAACAAATAATGTGTTAATGTTGCAGTTAAAGCTGTCCTCGATCATATACAATGAGTAAATAATAACAACGTCAAGAAAATCCAGTCCATTGTTATTTTCAGAACATGATTCGATGTGTCATAATTCAGTCGGCATTACACAGATTAAAAAGCAAGTATTAACTATGTATATCAGCGAAATTACTGACCGGAAATGTGGATAAGGCTGACGTTGCAGGTGTCTGATCGACTGAGTTTATGGAAGAAAACAAATTATTCATTCTAATAGTGTGTGAAACCAAAACTAACAAATACCTATTTGCTATCATAACAATTAAGATGAAAATTTGAATGCGTGACTATCGGTGAAGCCGATTAAGCAGGGTAAACAATTTACTAATTTTACAGTCTGTTAAAATTTAAATTAAAATCACCTGATTTGTGTAACTTTTAATTAAGGCAGTAATGTATTTTCAAACTATTGCAAGGAACTAATAATTACGTTCAAGTAAAAGTTGAAAACAAAAATCACAAAAGAAATTCGCTAACTTCTCTCGAACTTTTTTCTCTTCCTTTTTGACACGGAAAACTTCTTTCTATTATTGAAAAATTATTTAGTAGTTCAACTAAACTAATATTGTCAATACTTTCTCGAAACATGTTTAGTAGGGAAGCTATGTTTGAGGTTTCTGGTACGACGCATTGCGTGTTTTATTAAATAAACTTGACGAGTGGCAAAAATCTACAACACTAGCTAATGAGCCAGCTACTAAAATACTTATTATCGTCACCCTAATGAGATATTAAGTGTGGGACTCACTCATTAGCATATCTCGTTATATTCAAACGTAAGCTGACACGGATATTTTTTAGAAAATGAGCTCCAATTATGTAAATATTTCTACTAACCTTTCTGTGTACCACCTATTTTTTATTATGTGGTTTGTGGTTTAATTCGTACTGTGATTTTATACTTCGTTCGAAAAGTGGGATATGTGGGCAACCCAACATACATCCATTAGATTATATCGATCTGATATGTTGAGCTTTGGGTATTTTATATTGTGTAGGTACCCCATTTCATTATCATTATATTTCCCCCTCAATGAATAGTATTGGATTGTGTTTTATAAACCATTTGATTGTTGAAGATCACGAAATAGATGAAATTAATGCAATTGAACGAATACAAAATTATTCAGATAGCAAATTCGGAAGCTGTAAATAACATATCCACTATTTTAAACAGTTTTTCGGTTAGAAATGTTTCAATTGAAGTTTTGATGTAATTAAATTATCATGGTGTTACAATCGTACTCTTGAATTACATAATGAAACATTATTATCTCTCTTGATACCAACATGGAATTTATGCAGCATTAGTAATGTAAAAAAGGCGTCGTAGAAGGTATCAGTCTTGTATTGTTGTAGTGAGCTTCTAACTATTGACCTGTCACAAGCAGTTGTTTTAGTTATTTAAAAAAATAATCATCCGTTATTGGTTTTTTGAAGAAAGTCAAGTGAGTACAGTGGAGATTTAGTTTTTAAGAGTACATTTGAACATTCACTTTTTTTTTTGTTTTATGGTACTATTATTGACGTCATTCTTGCTTTCGAGTAATCTAAGAAACGATATTCTAAACTGCGACTTTATTTTGGGCGTTGCCGTGAAAAGTTAATGCTTACGTCATTCTCATATTTTCAGTAAACCGTGGATCCAAAAAATATTTAGTTGCAAGGTGTGTAGTATTTATTTTAGAGAACTTTACAGAACAACCCAAACCTTCCAAAAATTAATGACGTCATTTTAATTTTCTGCCTAAATAGCATTGTATAAGTTTAGCAGTTGATAAAAAATGAAATTATCAAAATTACTTTTTTTACTTCCACCAAAAAATTAATGTAAACACTGATCCATTTTAGTGTTTTTATCACACACGCCTGAGAATTGTTGACGTCATCTTAAAAATTGTTACAAAAATATTGTTAAAAGTACGTCCCGATTCAATATTGTTGGCAAACTTCTCGGTAAATAACTTTGAAGACTTCTCTGGGTGTAATATTGATTTTTCTTATCTTTAATTTACTTTGTGATGTGTTTTATACTTATGTTAGTTTCGATAGTTTTAATTTACCAATCTAAAAACCTAGACTTACTTATCAGTATCACTATTCTTTAAGCCAAGCTTTATAGTTACGTGTCTGTATTAAGGGTTGCATAATAGCTAAAAGGGTGACGATACCTTATCTCAATTAAATATACATGTTTCTAAGTTAAAACATGTTCCTATCGCATATACACTTTATATGGGGGAGATTTTTATCATATTAATGAAAATGACCCTATAACATTAATTTTAATACTCTATACCATACGGTAGAACTACATAAAAATTCGATTTGAAATGTAATTGATTTTTGACTGTTGAACATCCAACACTAAGAAAGTTAAAACACATTAATCTCAGCTTGTATTTTATAAATATTAATGATTCAAGCAAATTTTTGTGTTGGCAGTTCTGAATTATTGGTAGCGATGCTAATATTCATTTGTCAATTTTCACATAAGCACGCCTACAAACGTGTTGATTGGTTGAGACGCTTTTCGCTGTAACAAATAGCAATTTGACAATCAGGTATGCCATCAGAAAATTTTCAAAATGTTGCCAACGTTACAAAAAATTTTTTATTGCATTTGGCTTGTCAGAAACACGTGTCAGTCCATGTGTATTCTTCGATGTTTTAAATTTTTGTTATAAAAGTAATGTCACTTTTAAATTAATGTGAACCTGAGGCAGTTTACGAACTTTTTTCTATTACAAAATATAAAGATGGGTTTGCCTTCTGCGCCGATAATCATTTTTGTTGTAATAATAATAATAAAAATGACTTTATTGTCCAACAGGATTACCCGATTACAGCACGAATAGGCAAACAAACAGTAACATAACAAATTACACAAAGTGATAAATATATACACCACATCCACTCATAACTAACTTAACTAAAAATATTTAAATTGTAGCAGTATAATCATAAAACAATTAAAATTTTTTCAAACAAAATATCCGTAAACAATTTCCAACACAGATTAGTCATTGATACTGTTCATAAGAGGTTAGTTTCAAACGTTGTCTTGTTGTTATTTCTGAAAACAGTTTGCTATTACGTCAGGATCTAGTAAGTCTATTCCAAAAGCGAACTACCGGGTGACTACTAATAAATGAGGCAAATTTTTGGTTGGTAATTCTGAATTATTGGCAGCAATGTTAATGTGTCAATGCGCAATTGTCAAATGAGAGCTATTTTAAATATTTTAAATTTTAAATATGTTGCCAACATGACAAAAAAACACAAACATTAATAGTCACCCGGTATGTATTCAGAACCAAAACTTTAAATGTTTTGCTGACATTTATTCATAGGATAAGTAGAAATTTCACGAATCTACCGGTTTATTTATCTCATCTCGGGACATTCGAACTTATTACTTCCATATTTTAAGTGTGCACTAGGAATATAATGAAGTTGTTTCAGAATTTTTGATAAAAATCTTTTATCATTTTTTTTAATTGCTTCGACACGATGTCTTGAAAAATTAATTATGAAGCTATTTCTGGTTTATCGATGAAGTATGATTTATAGTGTGATAAAGTTCTTGCCAATTATAATATTAATAATGTACGAGTTGTTAAAGAAATGTAAGGTCAGTAATATAAAAAATCACGTTGTTAGAATTCAAGTTTTTAAGTGGTTAAAAAGACAAGATTTAGTAGACTCTGAAATAAATATATGTGACAATAATGTGATTAGGAAAAAGATCCAGTAAGACTGGTTGCCTATTCGTAGAAATACCCCCCAAAGCTTCAAAATTTTCAAATTTTTATGGCTTAGTCGATGGAACATTTTAGGCAGTTGATATTTATTTTTAATATGCTTGTATTAAACCTGAACTTTATTTTTGTTTTTGATTGATTTTCATTTTATTGTACATATTTATGACCCCTAAATAATTGTGTACTGTATGTAAAAAAAAAATCGTCTGTTACTATTATTATTATTATTTTTAATTACAATCTTCACAGTATTTAGTGTGACGTCAGAAAACAAAAACTACACATTCGCGTGGATTTAAATGCCGCACTTTGATAACCCTTACTTTCCGTGATTAATCTGCATGATTCACCTCTCGAGGAAATAGAATTAATTTCCTCGACCGCTGTTAAATCGTCATCATTATCTCGTTTGTCCCGCCCAATCGCTCTGTGCTTAATTTGTTTTTGCACCCGTTCATGGTCAAATTCTATCAAAA